CTAAGGTGCAACTGGACTCAAATCCACCAGTTATACTGGAATTGTGCAGGCACACCATCCTCAGAATCACACTGAGGTGAGGAGCAGGAAAGGTACAGCAGCTAATTCCCGAGAGCAGCAATCAGAGCGCAGCCATGTTTCTTAGCCAGGGAACCATTTCCAGCCAGTTCTGACATGCCAGACTGGACTACAGCAATGCGTGCGAGGGAAAATGGAGGAACACATTCTACAAAACGTTGCGGGGTGGGGAGAACACTGCTTCCGCTTCCGGGTGCTCTCGTCCTCATGGGCACTATTCACAATTCACGGGGCCAACCTAACTTTAAATTCTAGGACCATCCTAACATTTAAAACAGGTTCCAAAGCTACATAGTCCTGAGGTAGGATTCACATGACATCTTCAATTATGCCTGTTCCAGTGGGGCATAATTAGTATGAACTAATTTCAAGTTCAGTTCACTTGCTTTTGCTCTTTCCTATACTGTAAAATAACACGCCCACAGTGCAATTCTAAACAGAGTGACATTGGCCGAATCTGCATTTGTCTTTCCCACCGGTGTCCCAGCCTTCAAAAAAGCTGTCTACATTAAACCCACTGAAGCCACTGTTAATTTCAAGAGGGACTAGAGTACATTCCTTACAAGTATTTTAATTGGGGGGGGAAGAGAATCATAATATAGAGTTGTAAATTATATGGAGAAAATGGATGCTCATAAGAACATAAGAGATGCCAATGTTGGATCAGGCCAAAGGCCCATCCAGTCCAACACTCTGTATCACACAGTGGCCAGAAATACCAGTGCCATCAGGAGGTCCACCAGTGGGGCCAGGACATTTGAAGCCCTCCCACTGTTGACCCCCCCCCCCCAAGCACCAAGAAGACAGAGCATCACTTTCCCCAGAGCCCCTATCTATACCTTGTGGCTAATAGCCACTGATGGACCTCTGCTCCATATGCTTATCTAATTCCCTTTTGAAGCCGTCCATGCTTGTAGCCACCACCACTTCCTGTGGCAGTGAATTCCAAGTGTTAATCACTCTTTGGGTCAAGATGTCCCCAATAAAGTATACTCAGGACTGACTAAATATTTGTTCACCAGCACAAATTTTGAAACTAGCCAGCATCAGAAGCAGAAAGCGATGGCCACTGGCTTTAAAAGGGGATTATACAAATTCATGAAGGACAGACTATGTTCATGGCCTGGTAGAACTTCCATGTCCAGAAGCAGCACACCTTAGAATACCGGCAGCTGCTGAGGCTAAAACACAAGGAAAGCTATTACTTTTGTTCTGTTTCCAGAAACACTGGGATGGCAACTGTTGGGAAAGGATGATTAACTAGATGGACTTTGGTCTGATCCGACAGAGCTCTTCCTATCTAGTAACACTTGGTAGCAGTAGGAACAGTCAGCTTAATATCTAAACAGTAGTTCTGGGGCTCAAACTTGCCTGGGTGGAACAGCAAGTCATCCAAGAGAGGCAAAATACAGAATAAATGATCATCATAATGTCCCATCCATACTGTATGTACCATTCTGGTCACCATATTCCAAAAAAATTAGAAAGGGCCAACAGTATGGTCTCTGAATTTTACAGTCAAACAAGGAAAGCCTGATTAAATCCCCTTTACCACTTTAAGAGATGGCCTTGAGAAAATTATTCTCACAGCCTCCATTGATCCCCCTGTGAAAAGAATATATTGAACTAGAAACTTTGCAGGGCTATTTTGAGGCTGTTACCAACCTCCAAAGGAAGTTTAGAAAACTTATTGAGGGCCAAAAGTTAAAAACATAAGTGTACCAAAGAGTGTTTATTACAAAAACATATAAAAACCTAGTAGGGGCCCAAAAAGGATACTGTATGACCTGACCTGACGCATTTTGGCTCACAAGAGCCTTCTTCAGAGGTCAAATAGTGCAAAATGCAACAAGCAACAGAGTCCCTGTAACATATGTAAGGCAATTAACAATAAATAAGATAGGATCAAAATTGGAATGTTCCAATATGGAATTGAATGACACACCAAAAAGTTTCTATTTGGGGCCACAAATATATCTGGCCTTGTGTCACAAGTAGTTGTATATACTGGAAATAATATGTACCTTCCAGTTTAGGTCCTAAGAGTGCAAATAAAATTGCCTTGTCAGGGACAATGTGCCATCAATATGTAACAGACAGTTCACACCTTAACACTAAAAAAAAAAAAGATGAGTAACTGCATCAGATCAGCATTCACCCTAACCTCCCCTGCTTTCCTGTGTTTCAGACTCCTAAGCTTCATGGTGCAGAGTCCTGTCTTCTTCTATGTTAATTATGTTTTTTCTCTGTTAAAGACATCATAAACTGATTAAAGTATTTTCTTTTTTACTTCATTTATACCCCACTTTTCTCCTCAGTGGGGACCCAAAAGAGCTTACAACCTTCTTCTCTCCTCTGTTTTATCTTCACAACAGCCTTATGAGGTAGGCTAGGCTGAGAGTATCTGACTGGCCCAAGGCTGCCCAGAAAGCTTCCCTGGCAGAGTGGGGGGTTCAAACCTGGGCTTCCCCGATCCTAGTCTGACACTCTAACTACTTTTCCATCGTTGTCATCCACCCCCACAGCCAGCCAATGTAGTAGAGCAGTGGTTCTCAACCTGTGGGTCGCGACCACTTTGGGGGTCGAACGACCCTTTCACAGGGGTCGCCTAAGACCATCGGAAAATTTGTAACAATGAAAATACATCCTGCATATCAGATATTTACATTATGATTCATAACAGTAGCAAAATTACAGTTATGAAGTAGCAACGAAAATAATTTTATGGTTGGGGGGGTCACCACAACATGAGGAACTGTATTAAAGGGTCACGGCATTAGGAAGGTTGAGAGCCACTGTAGTAGAGCATAATAATCCCCATTTCCTGAGGGGCAAAAATCAGTCTGAATGAATGACTACATACATCCCTACAGGGCTCTGGAACAGACTATCACTGCAGCATTACAAAGGTCGAAAACTACACCTGATGAAGTTCTGCCCTCTACAGCTTTCTTAGCTAATATGCGTACACCTGCAGTATCAGATACTGGAACCCAGGAGAGGAAGAAGCCATCCATCATCCAAGATGTCATGTCGCGACTTGGTTTGCCTCAGCACTGAATAGTATCATAAGAGTCTTCTAGGGTTCCAGTTCCAATAATTCTTATTTGCAAAAGGTGCTTATTAAAACATTTCTTTCTTTTTGTTTGTTTGGTAAATTTTATTTAACAATTTTCCACTTAATTATCGTTTACAAATATTCATCCTTCCATACATTTGAGCCTAAATTTTCCATATTTTGTGAATCTAGTTATACAAGCTTCTCCATCTTTCAATAAATACATTTTCATCTTTCCTTGAAGAATCAAACTTAATTTGTCCATTTCTGCTACTTCCATCAATTTACACAGTATTTCTTCTCTTGTGGGGAGTTTATCTTGTTTCCAATATCTAGCCAACAGTATCCTTGCAGTAGTTAATATATATGTTAATAGATATTTTTCATTTTGTTTATAATTCTCCGGTATCATATTCAATAAAGCTATTTCAGGAGTTAGAACCAAATTTACATTCATAACATCTAAGATTATCTTTTGTGTCATTTTCCAGTATGCAGCTGTTTTTGCACAACGCCACCACATATGATAGAACGTACCCACGGGTTTTTTTACATTTCCAACATATATTAGATATTGTTGGGTAACATTTAGCTATCTTATCTGGAGACCAATACCATCAGTGAAAGACTTTATAGATATTTTCCGTATAGTTAACCGCTCTCATATATTTCAATATTTGCCATGTAGTTGCCAGTGTTTCCTCTAAGCTGAGTTAGTGTGAGCTAGCTCATAGTTTTTTAGCCTCCAGCTCACACATGTTTGCCTTAGCTCAGGAAGGATGGCTCCAGAGCACACTAATTTATGCAGCAGCCAAATCACGCTCGCAACTTTAATGCCAGCAGCTCACAAAGTAGAATTTCTGCTCACAAGACTCCACAGCTTAGAGGGCGCATTAGTTGCCCATTGTTCTATCGTGTGTCCTATATCTTTCATCCATGCTATCATCGTTGAGGTAACCCTTTCATTTAGTAAATATTCTTCTAGTAAAAATATATATATATTTTCTGGATCTTTTTATCGCTTGTTGAAAGCCAGATCTTGTCCAACTGTGTTTTAACTTCTTGAAATCCTACTATGACATCTTCAGCATACCTAGATTTGAGTTGCATATCCATCCACCAAGTTAATTTTATTTTATATACTTTTGATAGGATTTCTTCTGGTCTTAATTAAAACATTTTGTTGGGTATTACAAGTTACCCAACACATTTCTATCTCTTCTTTTCCTCTGGCTCAAGGCATTTAAAAACACTAATTAAGACAAATGATAAACCCCAAGTTCCCCTCCCCCAGAACACACCCCACACTGACAACCCCATGAAGTACGTTAAATGAGGAGAGGAGAGATAGCAGATCACCCTTGGGCACCCAAAAAAGTTACCTGATTTAAACAGGGGTTTAGGTTCCAGGCTTGTGAATACAGGTCTAGCATTCTATCCCCTAACCCTGTCTTTCCTCCAGATTTCATTACCAATCCTTGATAAACCTAGAAACTTCTTCAAGCCAGCCTGAGAACAACATAGCTGCCTTGCAAACAATGTTCTGCAGCGGTACAGAAAAGCTGTCAAATACAAATTAAACAGTCCAGTTCTACAAGCTTCACTGCCTAAAGAACACGTGTTCACGCTGAACAGAAAAAACAAACAGACTGAAGCCGGGGACACACGTTGCTACAGACCATCATTGGCACAGACCTCTTAATGACATTGTGGGAGGAAAGCTTTGGGTACCAAAAGTCTCCATGAGAAGTGGGCTACTCCACACCCAGCGAGGACAGTGTCCCAGGAAAGGTCTCAAAACATTGATAAAGTCACAGGAGAGGCCCTTGGAGGTCCTCCGCCCTTCCCACCACAACTTCCTTACCTCATCTCCGCTGCCCAGTTCTTCTTTGACTTCTCCAGAGACTATGACCTCCACAGGACTCCTGCTGCTATTGCTTCGAGGGCTGCTGTCAGCACTGCCAACCTTCTCAGGCTGCCTGGCAGGGCTGCTGGGAGGCTGGATTTCATAGCCAGGTGACACAGTCTCCCGGCTGTTGCCAGGTGCTGCCGCCCGGGCTAAGGTGGGAGTGGGGGGCACAAGACAGCCTCCTGCCCAGGGTTGTCCATAGTACGGCTCCAGCTGGTCACAGTCTTGTTCCACCTTGATGTCAAGCTTCGGGCCTGGGCAGGCCTCCCCAGACTGAGTGACCCCATAGGGGCCCATCACCACCCCGGGATGGTGAACCCAGGCCTCGCCAGCGGTCGGGATAGGGTACCAGACTCTGGGAGCATCTCCTCCGCCGGGGACAGATTCCATCACCCCTCCCTGCGGCCCATAGTCAGGCTTAAATCCATAGCCCTGTCCAGGAGTGGCCCCATTGAAGGCTTCAGGCAAGAAGCCCCCAGCAGTTTCGTGATGGGGGACAGCGGGAAGGTTGTTCAGATGGAGGCTCTGGACGGGGAAGGGGTACGGGCGCCCCCGTTCTCGACCCAAGTGCCCCGCCATGGCGACAGAGAGACAGTGGGGCCCCCTCTCTCGGCCCAGGGGCCCGGCCAGGGCGAGAGAGAGAGAGAGAGAGAGAGAGAGAGAGAGAGAGAGAGAGAGGCAGCCCAGGAGTCTAGAAAGCAGAGCACACACCTGACGCACAAATCGAAATGGAAGAAGAGAGGGGAGACCCAAGCGCGCACGCACACACACCCCTGCAAAAAGTGGCAGAATGACCAAGGGGGATCCTAGGCAGCCAACCCCACGAAGCAGCCCCCAGTGCCTCTCCTCCTTCCCCCCCTCATCCAACGCTTCAGTCAACAAACCACAGACTCGCTTCTGCTGGTCTTACCACGGATCCAAGGAATGTTCGAGCCACGGCACTTGCGGGCAGTCCTTAAGTAGGTGGCGGGGGAAAGTAGGGGGTGATGATGATAAGCGTCTGTGACCAGCACAGCTAGTGGTGGTGGTGGGGGGGGGGAATATATAGGAGGTTAAATAGCTGCGGGGAGGAAGAGGAGGGAAACGACGCTGGAGGCAAGAACCAGCTGCCCAGCAGTGCAGTTTTTAAAGAAGTTACAGAGCCCGCCTTCTCCGACTACTGTAAGCCGCCTCGAGACCCGGGAGTCCCAGAGGGAGAAGGAAAAACCCACAAGAAACTCAACTGGGGAAGACGGGAGGGAAAGGAGCCAAGAGGGAACGAGGTTCCAAAAGGGAGGAGGAGCCAGTCAAGAGCAGGAGAGCCCGGTGGGGAGAAGAGACCCGAAGGACTCGGGAGAGGCGGAGAAGCAAAAAGAGGGCACTTCCCACGGGCAAGAAACCCGCATGTCTGGAGGCGGTGGGTCTGAAAAGGCTGGAGGTCCGCCATCCTAAGCTTTCAACCGGCCCTGCCTTGAGAAACCCGCCCCGGCCACGCCTCTGCTCCAGGTATGATCTCTGCAGTAGAAACGGGGGGGGGGGGGGGGGGAGGTTTTCCCCGCCCCTCCTCACCTCTGGAGCATGGATGAGTCAAGCCCCCCATCCCTCCCTCCCCATTGGCAGCTTCAAACGACCAGTCAAGGTTGAGTTCTAATGGAGCCTCTTCCCATCCCTTCCCCCAACCAAAGCCATGGTCCTTCTTGCCCAGCGGGCCCAAGGGCTAGCCATTCCCCAGCCCATCAGGGCCTATTGAGGCCTAGACAATAGACCCTTGGACCCGCCCTGGGGGGGGAAGCTAGAGATTGCTCTGCGAGATGGCGGAGTGGGAGGGGAAAGGATTTGGGAAGAGGCGATAGAGTGCTTCAAAGCCAAAGGGGAAACGAGGGAGGAGACCTCAAGCCTCAAAAGAGGGCCCACAGAGGGGCCGGGACTCCTGGGTTCCTTGGCTGGGGAGGAGGGGGGGGCATTTAAGAGACCAACAGTAACCCCCCACCCCCCCCCGGGCAGTGTTCCCTCTAAGCTGAGTTTGTGTGAGCTAGCTCACAGTTTTTTAGCCTCTGGATCACACATTTTTGCCTTCGCTCAGGAAGGATGGCTCCAGAGTCCAGAGCCAACTAATCTATGCAGTAGCCAAATCGCTCGCTCACACAACTTTAATGCCAGTGGCTCACAAAGTAGAATTTTTGCTCACAGGACTCCGTAGCTTAGAGAGAGCATTGGGGGGGGGTATTCTGCGGGAATGGAGAGAGATGAAAGCTTGGGTGACTCCACGAGGGGAGAAATGAAAGGCGTTAGTATTAGTAATATAATTAATATTAATCGTTAGTAAGCAATGCTCCCTCTAAGCTGTGGAGTCTTGTGAGCAGAAATCCTACTTTGTGCGCTCCTGGCATTAAGGTTGTGAAGGAGCGATTTGGCTACTGCGTAAATTAGTTTGCTCTGGAGCCATCCTTCCTGAGTTAAGACAAAAATGTGTGAGCTGGAGGCTCAAAAACGGTGAGCTAGCTCACACTAACTCAGCTTAGAGGGAACACTGGTTCGTAGTCCTTATACTGGATTTTCAGTGTGGAGAGCCCCTTGTGTTGCCTCAGTCATGCAGCTCTGGGATGATATGGACAAAAGGCAGGGCTCCCGTGGGAGGCAGGGGCTCCATTGGCATAGCTTTATACTTAGCGCCACAAGCACTGAGCTTTGAGAGGGGTGAGTTAGTCAGTTGTTAATAAACCTGGTGGATTTCTGCCTGTCATTAAAGGGAGAGAGGCAGGCACTTCACTGGCATAGTTTTATACTTAGTCCCACATACACTAAACTTTGAAAGGGGTGGGTTAGTCAGCTGCTAATAACCAGGGTGGATTTCTGCCTGTCGTTAAAGGGAGAGAGGCAGGTAGACACTCCACGGGCAAAGCTTTACACATAGCCCCCAACACAGAGAGCTTTGAGATGGGTGGGATAGTTTGCTGTTAAGAAACCTGGTGAATTTCTGCCTCTCTTTAAATGGGAGAGAGGCCCTGCCAAGTAAAGGTAGGAAGTGGAGGTGGGAGTAGTAGGGGGAGGGGTGCAGGATACCTGGGTTCTTTGGAAGGCTACAGTAAGAGGAGGGGAAGAGCCCTGAGCCGGCCTTGGCGGGGGGGGGGGATTTAATAAATCAATCAAATCAACCAATCAAGATAGAGAATGGAGGTGGTAGGGGACTGGGTTTCCAGATCAATTTTCAGAGGCTCTTATTCACATACTGTATAGGTGAGTTGCAACCACAGCTATGCAAAGTTGGGACACGCCTACGGCCATTTAGCCACCTAAAGCCTCACATTGAGTTCTGTTCCTTAAGGCATCTACCACCTTTGTTCAAGTGAAGAGTTAATTTGGTTTAATAAATTCGTTACAGCCCCCTCTTAAATAGGTTTATTTAGATGTAAGTCCCCTTGGCTGCAATCCTGAAGATGCTTTCCTATTGAATATGCCCCACTGGAAAACAGGGATTAGGATTGTTGTCAACTTTTGTTTCCTAACAATATCTGGATTGGCAGCTTCAGTGTTTCAGTGCTAAGATTGTTGACTTGGGAGTAAATCTTAAAGGTAAAGGTTCCCTTGCTCGAAAGCCAGTCGAATCCGACTCTAGGGTTGCGGTGCTCATCTCCGTTTCCAAGCCGAAGAGCCAGCGCTGTCCGAAGACGTTTCCGTGGTCATGTGGCCGGCATGACTAGATGCTGAGGCGCGCGGAACGCTGTTACCTTCCCACCGAAGTGGTCCCTATTTATCTACTTGCAATTTCTTGCTTTCGAACTGCTAGGTTGGCAGGAGCTGGAACTAGAGATGGGAGCTCACTCCATCATGCGGCACCCGGGTCTCGAACTGCTGAACTACTGACCTTCCACAGCCTGTAGTTCAGCGTCTTAACCACTTGAGTCACCGCAGCTCCTCAAGTAAATCTTAGATCAGTCAAAATTACTTCTGAGTAAACAGGCAGAGGAGTAGTTGCTTACAGTATGGGTAAGGCCGCAATTCTGTATAACTCCTGTTTCCAGGGAACAAGCTCTGTTGAACAGTGGTTCGTACTTCCAAATAAGCCTGCATAAACTGTATGCCCCATTCGTGTGATTTTTTTCTGGGTAAAATAGCTTCAGAGCATGCAGTAAGCATCTACTCCTGTGAATGCTTATTGAGAAATAAGTACCATTGCATTTAATTTGTTTCTATTTATTTATTTATTCACTGGATGTACATCCTGGTTTTATGCAGGTCCTTTTGGGACTACATACCTTACTTCCTGGCATTTATGTTTAGGGTTTACGTGCACACTTAGGAGCTGTGCATCCTGATCCTGTGAAGTCATCAGAAGTAAATCCTGCTGTGTTCAATGGTACTCACTCCCTAAATTGAATAGGAGTCCAGAGTCATCTTAAAGATGAATAAAATGTATTCGAGCACAAGCTTTTGTGAGACAGAGGTCACTTTTTCTGATCGCTCATGATGAAGCTGATGCTGGAATCAATACTGTTAGTCTTTAAGGTAGCCCTGGACTCCTGTTTTATTTTGCTGCACTAGCAAGATACTTCTGGAGTGACTTCGTCTTATGGAAGTGTGGCTAGTATTTCAGCATGGTGTAAGAGCAAATTCCATTGTTCATTAATGCCAGCTCCCAGGTAAATGAGCATAATCTTTCAGCATATTTTGACTCTTGTGGTGTCTTATTGGGGAAGAAACAAGAGTTAAATGCTCTAATCCTACACCCAGATGTGCCTGGCTAGTTAGTCCCACTATAGTGAACAAAGTTTCAGCCAAGAATAAGCTTAATATTGGGCTAGACCCAAAGAAAAGAGGGAGCGGATCCTTCTTTAAATGTATTTGCTGTTAATGTGAACATCATCAGACTCAGGCTTGTACCTGGCATGTTCCCTAAAGGTGCATAGCCAAGAACAAAGTTTGAGTCCAGTGGCACCTTTAAGACCAATGACGTTTGATTCTGGGTATAAGCTTTGATGCATAGGCTCTCTTCTTCATGCACATGAAAGCTTGTACCCAGAATTAAACTGTGTTGGTCTTAAAGGTGCCACTGGACTCAAATTTTATTCTGTTCCTTCAAACCAACATGGCTACCCACCTGAATCTATCACCAAGCGAAGTGCTGTTCGTTTTCCTCAAGAGCAGAGGTGGACTTGGGATATGACTTTAGGTAATGTGATCCGGCCTTGAGAATCAGACCAAAGGCCCATGAGGTCCAAAATCCTCCTCCTTTCAGTGGCCAAACAGATTTCTCCATGCAGGAAACCCCAGTAATAGCCCTCCCCCCACTCTGTTTCCCCTCCAGCTGAAAATTCCCAGCGCTTTCCCATCCAAGCACTGAGCAAACAGACATCTCTTTAGTTGCCTTCTCCTTGAAATGGGGGGGGGGAGGGGGAAGTAGAAGTGTGTTCACATAACACAATCTGGGAGGGGTGGGTTGCTTTTGTGATCGACATCCTAAATGGAATTTGTTCTGTTTGATCGGTGATGATAGGTTTCTTGTAAACAATGTTCCCTCTAAGCTGTGGAGTCTTGTGAGCAAAAATTGTTGAGCTACTGGCATTAAAGTGGTGAGAGAGCGATTTGGCTACAGCGTAAAC